TTTGGAATTATTTTCGGTTGGCGAAATAGAGCAAAAAACAGGCAATATTGGTGTCTAAAACTTAAGTGTCTTAATATTAACTTATTGTTCATTGAACTGTTGTATAAAATCAGTATCACATTTGTAACCATGCTTATTTTTGAAGAAAAAAAAGGCACTCTTCGAGTGATTTTAACTATGAAATGATATAAATATGTACATTTTCTGCCCCCATATCTTGAATTTTTTGAATTATCGCAGACGATATATATCGCACACCCCTAGTTGCAACTGTTCAATATAAAATAAGCAATAGAAAAGAATATGTGTACACTTTATTAGGGATGTGTGCGATATATATCGTCTGCGATAATATCGTAATTGTTGTTTTAACAATGTGCGATTTGACATTATCGAGTACTTTGCTAAAACCATTCAAAACATTCCTACAGCGTGTACGCTTACATTACATGAAGTCTAGTGCGTGTGCATTTAGAGTGCATTCTTCCACTGCATGATTCAGCCTAAAATGACAACAAAATTATACGGGGACAGAAAAATTTACACATTTATATCATTTCATATAGTTCTATCAATATCATAGAAAGAGTGCCTTTTTTCTCTCCAAAAAATTCCATGATTATAAATGTAATATTGATTTTTTTTACAAGTTCAAAACAAGAAGTTAATTAAGAGACTTACGTTTTAGACACCATATTGCATGTTTTTGTGATATTTCGACAACAAAAATAATTCCAAACACGTGTTTAGTTCCTGAATGAATCAACCGTTTAAATGATTCGGTTCAATCGCAATGACTCCCTTATTAACAGTGACTTGCTGCCACCTGCTGGCGATTTAAATTTCACATTTATGGATTCTTTTTATTATTAAATAATTTCAAATATCAGTATTCAACGTTTTATGTTTACTATATCAAAACATTATTTATGCATTTGTAATCGCAAGTTAAACGCATTCGTGTTCTGCACTAAACAGTAGTGGGTAAATACATCTAAATGCCACTTCAGATGCAGCTTCTGTGTTTCATCTGCACTGCAAAGATGAATTTTATTGATACTGATTTCATTTGCTTGGTAACAGCCCAAATGTCTTTTTATTGTAATTCACTGATTAAATATAAGAATTTGACTTAAAAGATAATGCACACTTAGAAAAATTGCTCTTTATAGGGAAAAATGCCCATAACAGGTAAAAATCAATTTAAACTTTTTGGAAAAGAGTCATTTCTATCTGACTACAACACTGAATATGAGGCATATCAAAAACCTTAGAAGTCAGCCGTCCACAGTAGTCCTTAAGACACCAGCACAATAACACACTCAGCAAAATATCGTCCAATTATCGTTATCGATAAAATCCCAGAAAATATCGAGATATTTTTTGTCAGTATCACACCCCCCTACACTTTATCTACAAAAATTAAAGAAATCACTCTGCAAATTTTCAGGAAAAAAAAAATCATGGCACAAGTCATTGATTAAATTAATTAAACTATAAAAGTCATTAAATAAAGCCCAGTCAACCTTGTCTTATATAAAATAGCCCAGTCAAAACTAAAAACACGTTTAATAAGATCTGCCAAATATCCCCAGAAGCCTATTCCTTACAGGTTCTAAAAGCATTTTTGCAAGTATATCTCCTCAGATTTGTTTTTGCTCTGTCGTTAATATTCTGCCCTTTCAGCAAACAGAACACTTCCTATTTATGTTAGGACTTAAATCCCTGCTGAGTCCCAGACGTAAGAGCTACCGACAGACTCCATCCTGCTGTGCTCCTTCATGATATCACAAAGCTCACGCTGAGAACTAATGTACGCTAATCTCATGTTGTCTCTGAATTAGTTAGAATGAGGAATGTCTCGACCTGAAACCATTTATACTTTGTGTCATATATGCACTCAAATCAAACACTGACTTTCCACAGGGACAGCAGCTCTGAGAAGTTCCAGATGAAAGTCTTTAGTCATTGCAACTGGAGTAGATAAACCAAATATTGACTACACTGTTTGAACGAACTGATATGATTTCATACAGTCAGTCCTAAACATTAGACTCAAAAAGCCAAATCTGAAACACTAGCAGTGTGAACAAAGCCCAGATTATGGAAAATTCACCTTGGATGGAAACAACTCCTAACAAACCTCTAACATTTTACAACAGCAAAAGACAACAAACCCTCAACTCTCCAACGAAGCAACGTCTACGAGAACAGTCCCTTCATAAAATATAAATGCAATTTATTTTACAGAGACAACCTAATCTCCCTTTCCTTGCAGAAACCTACTTGTCGGATCCATAAAATGACAGAAAAATGTGAACCGTTATGCAACACAACTATTACTGGGTCAAAGGTCACACCAAAGATCCTTAACAGATCTAGGGAGGATTGCTTTGAGCAATAGGATTAAAAGAAGACTAAGCCAACTAACTCCGATTAGATCAGGAAACCTCATGTGATCCTCCATATCGACAAGGAAAGTAAAAAGATGAGTCAGATTTGAAACCGATTCAAATTCTAATCTGATTCTAAATCTCAGTTAGCTGGTCATTATCACAAAATAAACCCCTTATACCACCGTTAGAACACACTGACTGTACATTATTATGCTTATTAGATGGTCATTCACCAAATAAATAGATATAAAATACTGATTTGGATATAAATGATTTTATAACATGAGAAGAAAGACACCACCAAAACTAAGAAATTGGTTGCTATGTACAACAGTAAATTATTAACGGGCATTATGCAAAAATAATTGAACTGCAGAATGGCACGAAGTCAAGTAGGCTACTGCAGAAAGCCATGTAATAATAAAGAAAATTCCCATCGGCACGGTCACATTTACTGCCGCTCTGCTAAATTTTGCAGACAAATTTCAATAGAAATCACTCTCTTCACTTGTGTTTAAGCTGATGAAATCTTGCATAAACTGTTTTAATGTGACCGCGCGTTAACACTTTATTCTTCAAAAATCCCCCTAAAAATGAAATCCTCACAAATGACATATTTAAGTGTTAAATGAAAATCATTTCTTCAAGTCTGGCCTCAATATAAATCTACCCCCTTATCTCATTTAGTTTACACAGAAGCATGAATATACAAATTAGTCCCCGCCTCCACTCAGTCACACACGGCTCCACATTCACTCGGCTAACTGAAGTAGTAAACGCTACACAAGTGGCAATGTTTTGGTTTAATTCAGCCATGTTTGAACCAGAAACTGATTCCAAAGAGGAAGAGTGAATTATGCAGGGCTGTACAAGTCGATCTATCAGAATGCTAATTGACTTTATGTGTCACTCTTTACAATGCTGGGAAGATAATTGATATCATTAGCCTTTGGTTTGACTACATTATCAACGAGCTAATAATGTGCGGCTAATGTTAGATAAACCATGTCTCAGTTCGCCATCTCAGACAGCTACCTTTGAAAAATCATCATCCTTAGGTAGAAATGCTTTGTTAATTATATGAAAAGCCCCCAAGTTGAAGTGATCTGGGAGCATACTTGAAGTAAACTGGCCTGTTGTGATACAAGGTTAACACATTGTTTAATAAACTCCTAAAGTTAAGATTTATTACAGCATGCAGTATACAAGGACCTAGATAGTAAATTCACACCTGGAATCGTTTTTAAATAACTGTCCATCTGAACCATTTTAATTTTGCATTTATATTCTGTTCAGAATAGGTTTACCATCATTTGATAAGCAGACTTCTTTACACTACTCTTTTTGAAAAGTAATAAATGCACATAAAAGCCACAGTGCCTCTAATAGTTTCTTATCTAATGCAGTGAAGTCTATAGCCTACATTAAATCTGGCTTTAAGAGTCCAATTAGCGCAAAAGCCTGAAAAATCTAACAACACAGCTCACATATACTCTGTATAATTTACATATTCCTTGAGATTGCATTATATCAGAAGAACAGCATATGTTAGATTAGACAAACTGTTAAACAAATGTAATGGATTAAACATAAAATTACACATATAAACAACATGCATGTTTTAAAGGGCCAGTATGACTATAAAGTCTAAATAGATTACAAATGCTGAGCTAGTCTAGGTAAACTGAAAACCTGAAGTGGTCAAATGCAGCCTGAAAAGGGTGGTAGAAAGAGAATGAATGCCATGACATTGGTCCTCGACTCTTAAAACTCCTAAATTGATGCATAGACTTTTAACATGTGGGAGCATACTTGAAGTAAACTGGCCTGTTGTGATACAAGGTTAACACATTGTTTAATAAACTCCTAAAGTTAAGATTTATTACAGCATGCAGTATACAAGGACCTAGATAGTAAATTCACACCTGGAATCGTTTTTAAATAACTGTCCATCTGAACCATTTTGCAATTAATTTTGCATTTATATTCTGTTGAGAATAGGTTTACCATCATTTGATAAGCAGACTTCTTTACACTACTCTTTTTGAAAAGTAATAAATGCACATAAAAGCCACAGTGCCTCTAATAGTTTCTTATCTAATGCAGTGAAGTCTATAGCCTACATTAAATCTGGCTTTAAGAGTCCAATTAGCGCAAAAGCCTGAAAAATCTAACAACACAGCTCACATATACTCTGTATAATTTACATATTCCTTGAGATTGCATTATATCTATCACAAGCCGATAAATACTGCAAATAACTGTTAAATAAATGTAAAAATTATTAAAAAAAAGAGACGTTACAGTAAAACGACTGGGTATTAGATATAGCAAATATCGAGAATATAGCGCTCTTATACGACTAAAGTGCGATTCAATAAACCCAGTTTATAAACCAAAGCGGCTGTAACTTTCTGTCTTTTTTAATCCCAACATCACGCCGAGCACTGATGACGTCACACAATTGCGCCTACCTTCATTTATTAACGGGAATAAATTAGCGAATTAAATCAACGTGAAATGACCTTTCTTAATGTGACTGATCAGTTCACCAACAAGCGTTTTAATCCGCGTTACTGTATCAGAGAGCAGTTGAGTTCTTACCTTCAGAGTTGGAGAAAGACAAAAGGATCGCAAACCGAAGGAGGTGGATTCAAAGATGAGGATTGATGAACACTGTATTATTATCCCGAGTAATTCCTGGTCTCGTGCATGCACTGCTGGATGATCCAGAGCTCCCAGGCAGCTCCTCCCTCCTCCATCAGTGTCCTTCAGAGACCTTCCAGCCCACCTCTCTCTCACACACACACACACACACACACACTGATGCTTCTGTGTCACCAGATAACATGCCATATATACACCTCATGCAGTACAGCCTATTAACAATTATATCATCAGAATCTATCTACCTACCTATCTATCTATCTATCTATCTATCTATCTATCTATCTATCGATCGATCGATCTATCGATCTATCTCAATATTAGCGGACATTTGTGCACGAATGTATCAATGAATAATTTTGAGGACATATGCAAAGAATTAAAGAATTAAATGGACCACAAAACCAGTAAATTTTTTGAAATTGAGATTTAAGCTGAATTTAATAATCTTTCCATCGATGTATGGTTTGTTAGGATAGGACAATATTTGGCCGAGATACAACTATTTGAAAATATGGAATCTGAGGGTGCAAAAAAATCTAAATATTGAGAAAATCGCCTTTAAAGTTGTCCAAATGAAGTTCTTAGCAATGAACATATTATACGTTTATATATTATATAGAATAATAGAATATAGAATAAGTTTTGATATATTTACAGTAGGAAATTTACTAAATATATTCATGGAACATTTTTGGCATAAAAGAAAAATCAGTCATTTTGACCCATACAATGTATTTTTGGCCCCCCCCCCTCTCTCACACACACACACACACACACACACACACACACACACACACACACTGATGCTTCTGTGTCACCAGATAACATGCCATATATACACCTCATGCAGTACAGCCTATTAACAATTACATCATCAGAATCTATCTACCTATCTATCTATCTATCTATCTATCTATCTATCTATCTATCTATCTATCTATCTATCTATCTATCTATCTCAATATTAGCGGACATTTGTGCACGAATGTATCAATGAATAATTTTGAGGACATATGCAAAGAATTAAATTTGACCCTGGACCACAAAACCAGTAAATTTTTTGAAATTGAGATTTAAGCTGAATTTAATAATCTTTCCATCGATGTATGGTTTGTTAGGATAGGACAATATTTGTCTGAGATACAACTATTTGAAAATCTGGAATCTGAGGGTGCAAAAGAATCAAAATATTGAGAATATTAAAGTTGTCCAAATGAAGTTCTTAGCAATGCCTATTACTAATCAAAAATTAAGTTTTGATAAATTTACGGTAGGTAATTTACAAAATGTCTTCATGGAACATGATCTTTACTTATTATCCAAATGATTTTTGGCATAAAAGAAAAATCGATAATCTATCTATCTATCGATCGATCGATCTATCGATCTATCTCAATATTAGCGGACATTTGTGCACGAATGTATCAATGAATAATTTTGAGGACATATGCAAAGAATTAAATTTGACCCTGGACCACAAAACCAGTTAATTTTTTGAAATTGAGATTTAAGCTGAATTTAATAATCTTTCCATCGATGTATGGTTTGTTAGGATAGGACAATATTTGTCTGAGATACAACTATTTGAAAATCTGGAATCTGAGGGTGCAAAAGAATCAAAATATTGAGAATATTAAAGTTGTCCAAATGAAGTTCTTAGCAATGCCTATTACTAATCAAAAATTAAGTTTTGATAAATTTACGGTAGGTAATTTACAAAATGTCTTCATGGAACATGATCTTTACTTATTATCCAAATGATTTTTGGCATAAAAGAAAAATCGATAATTTTGACCCATACAATGTATTTTTGGCTATTGCTACAAATATAGCTCAGCGACTTAAGACTGCTTTTGTGCTCCAGGGTCACAAATAATAATAAACATATTTGTGCATAACTATATCAACACATATGGAAAAAAAACACGTGCATCTATCTATCTGTCAAAGGTGTAAAAATTGATAGAGAAAACTACTTAAAGAAAATCTCCTTACAGTAATCTACTTTACTGTAGATAACTAAATGTCATTTTCTGAAATTTTCGTGAGAAGATGAACAGCAGGAAGGAGAGACATCTGTTGGCTTGTCACAGGGAATATATATTGTCAGAAACAGGAAAATATATTACAATACACGTTTCATTCAGGGTGATTTATGAGATGTCTAAACACGGAAGCCGGAATGTTACACTTTCAGTGAAGTCAGAGCTGAATGGTATGAAGTGAATATCTGCTTCCAGTCTGCAAAGCCAATTTGCAAACAGTAAGATCTTATTAAATCTTTTCATACCAAACATACACAGAAAAAAAAATCAAAACAACAACCTTGAAAATTCCATCTGCACAAGCAATCAGACGTGATTATATTTGCATATATTTACTTTAACAACTTCCAAATTAAATGCATATAGAGTGAAAATCATTTTAAAATATATATATATTGCATAAAGTCGAAGCAAAGGTCGTTTTCAGAAAGCACAGTACTGAATGCAAGTGTTTATTTAGCTTTGAGCAGTGGAAGAGTAAAATACTGTCAATATTAAAGATGGTATTTCAATTCTCAGACACACAGTGGACCTTTCATTGAACTCTGTTGCCTGAACATTTCCAGATGATATACATAAAAATATCACAAGCAATATTGTTCCTAAGTGTCTCTAAATTCTGTGTAAAGATGAATGCCATATCCACCTTTTTCTTCAACGCGGAAGTAAGCCTATGGGCGAGACTTCCGGATCATTAACCGCTATAGGTAAATAACGAGGAGAATAATAACAAAGTGCAGGAAACGGTAAAACTGTTTGCACTACAAACCAGTGTGTTCATAATTAAGATAATACATTAAAACAACACACCAATTTTCAATATCAGGCAGCAAAACGAACTGTTTTGTACAGCTAAAAATAGCTGGATGCAGATGAGACCGGAAGCTAGACCCATAGAATTTACAAATGGCCGCACCCATTTTTACGGCAAGGAAAAAAGTGGATAAAAGCCTTGCTACACTATGCCAGCTCTGACCTGTCTCAGAGACAGATGATTCTGTGTATCAATTGCATCTTCACAATATAAAGACAGTTACATTCACAATTCAAAATGGCTCAATATGAATTAAATTTAACTTAATAAGCACACATCTGAAATAAGAAATAACACAAGAGAGGTTTTAAACATGGTTATTATTGCCAAACATTACAAGAAGAGCACAATTGTTCAGTTAGAAGTGCCAATAAAATGATAGTGTAACATGTAAAAAGTTTAGCTGAACTAACACTCTCAAGAGAAAATTCTGTGGAAGACCTGGCTTATTTAAGAAAACTGTAACCGTAACATCCATTCCAGACATTAACTTAAAGGGATAGTTCACCCAAAAAATTATCCCACGATCTACCCACCCTCAAGCCAGGTGTACATGACTTTCTTCTTTTAAGACGAATACAATCGGAGTACTAAAAAATGTGCTGGCTCCTCCAAGCTTTATAATGGCAGTGAATGGTGGTTGAGATTTTGAAGCAAGATAAAGTGCATCCATCCATCATAAAAAGTACTCCACATAAAGGCCTTCTGAAGCGAAGTGATGCGTTTGTAAGAAAAATATCCATATTTAAAACTTTATAGTCCGTAATCTCTAGCTTCCGCTAACTGTTGTACGCTAGAGATTACAGTTTATATAGATAGTTTTCTTACACAAACGCATTGCTTTGCTTCAGAAGGCCTTTATTAACCCCCTGGAGCCGTGTGGAGGATTTTTATGATTTTGCTTCAAAATCTCAACACCCATTCATTGCCATTATAAAGCTTGGAAGACCCAGTACTTTTTTTTAATGTAACTCTGATTGTATTTGTCTGAAAGAAGAAAGTCATATGCACCTAGGATGGCTTGTGCGTGAGTAAATCATGGGGTAATTTTCAGTTTTGGGTGAACTGTCCCTTTAAGAAAGTCACCCTCTTGCTCACATCTAATTAAAGAGACAGAGAATATTCTAAATACTGAAAGCTGAACAGCGATGGTTTACTGCAGCAAAACTGAGAGATGCACACTGACTGACAGATGTAGTGTAGTACCAGCAAATCTCCACAATTCATGTGTCTTAGTCTTTTGAAAACATTATCTCACACAAAAATAGAACAATCCCTTGAAGCTGCCTTCAATACAATCAACTGCATGTTTTTCATAAAAGTCAATTGGCATTTTATAACAGTATTTTTTGAAAAATAACACTTTATTTTCCAAAACTTCACACATGATTTTCTTTGAAAAGAGCTGAGTGCTGGTCACTTCCAACAGCATACAAACACTTGAGCCTCAGATTGAAATTAAACACATTTATCTTTAAAAAGCCACTTTTAAAGTTAAGTATTGTGTCGCGGTTAAATACAGTAGTGAAATATGAATCTGAAGCAACATGACATTTCAGTAAAGTTCCTTTCAAATGGAAACAAAAACATCCAGATCTCACCTAAAACTCGTCAGTGTTAAGTATATCAAGATGGTAGTCTTTAAAACACAGAATAAATGTTAAGTTTCTCAAGAAACCTCCACCGATTAAAGCCTGAACCTTTTTGGTTACAGTAAACCGTAACAATCCCAACACAAACAATACTTCACAGTTTGTATGGGCCACTGATTGAAATACACTTTGTTTCATTTCTTTCTACATTCATTTGTGAAATGCAATCAGTATTAACCAACTGCTGCTTTTGTTAGATGCTGCTACACACAGAAGAAGGACATACTGTAATGGCGGTTATGGAGATCCTCTGTCAAATGTCTCAGAAGCTCAGGTGATCTCTGGTGATATTCTTCAAGTCCTTCGTGAAGATGAAAGCACCATGAGCAGATGTGAGACGTCAGCCCTGCAGGTCAAACGTCCTCAGACAATAGCTAGAGCAGCAGTACGCTACAAAACTCACAGTGGTTCTGTGTGAGAAATACAAAGAGCAAGAAAGAACATCCACTTATAATATGTACAGACCTATTTCAAGTGTATTTCCAAACATTTGTATGCAAATGTTAAGTTTGAGCTTAAGAAAATCTGAAGGAAAACGCTTGATATGAACTTTCAAAATATCTTATAATGCAATTAACCTAGGTGTATTATCTGAAATGTAACATAAGTATGTGTGCTAAGTAAAATGCAAAAAAATATGTTTTTTTTTTTTTTAGAAAGCAAAACATTGGATGCAACCCCTGCTGATGATATTCTGGTCTCTAGATACGGCTAAGATCCTTTCTTCATTGCAAGTTTATGAGATTTTTGATAGTGGTCAACGATACAGGTTTTGTCAATATTTGCTGATGGCTGATATAAGGTTGAATATATATATATATATATATATATATATTAACATCTTATAAATATATGGTAACACTTTATAATAAGGTTCTATTTGTTAACATTAGTTAACTACATCAGTTAACATGAACTAACAATGAAAAATACTTCTCTTCATTAATATTAATTAAATAATTTACAAATATATTCTTAAAATAAAAACGTTTATCTGCTAATATTATTTATTGAAAATGAGCTAACATTGAACAGTTGCATTTTTATAAATTATTACAAAAAATTGTAAATTATAACAAATGCTAATTGCTGATAATTAAAAAATTACAAATAGCAGCCAATATATTGGTCTTGGCGATATATATTGATTTACCACAAATTTTTGCACCTGTTTATGCCAGGCAAAAATGATAAGCCAAATCTCAACAAGCCACACTAAGTATCGAACATTTAGGTTTAGGGATTTAAAAAAAAAAATTATTGTAAGATTAAGTAAGAACAATAGTGATATAACTCACCTTACCAAAAACCAAATAATGGAGTATCAAAAAGACAAGAGGTCAAAGCAACCTAATGTACATTTTTGGTATGGTTAGCTTAAGTTAAACTATCTCACAGGGAACAAGCTTTCATACCTGAAATCAAAATATATATGCATATTAATGTGTGCGTATATAAGGGAGGTCATGTTCCTCCCACAACATATATGCTTTTACAAGGCTGGTCGATGAAGTGCTATTGAAACAGCAAGGGTTTCCTGGTATGAGTTCACCACACACACACACACGACCTGAGACTGAAAACAGAGAGTATTACAGGAGTGAAAGAAGCAAATGTTAAAGAATTCCTTAAACAAATCGCCTTTCTCTCGCTCGCACACGTGAACCGAGCACCACTCATCTCCAAACATCAGCCGAACACTCAGGGTAAGAGGTAATTGGCGAGTGGATTAGATCTCTTAATGCACGTGAAGTAGCTGAGAGCAGCAGTCGAGCAAGATGATTGGGTTACGCTGCTGGATGTTGATACCAAAACCACAGCGTTGCATTACAGATGGAACATGACGGGCAGTGGAGCAAGCGCTGCTCATTTCAACCAATCAAATGCACAGGAAGATGAGGAGATAGAGGAAGTGACAGGGGTCAGAGAAAACATCGTGAGAGAGAGAATGAGAGGAGACAGAAAGCAGGAGAGAATTTTTCTGAATGTAAGAAAAGTTGAATGTGTGGAAGTGAGGATGTTAGGTCAATCCCAGAATGCATGTGCATTTAAAGGGGACATGCACTACTGTTCAAGTAAGATATTTCAAATTTAAAAAAAAAGTATCTTATTGCTCATCAAGGCTAAATTAATTTGATCAGAAATACAGTAAAAACTGTAATATTGTGAAAATTACAATTTAAAATAACTGTTTTCTATTGTAATATATTTTAAAATGTATTTTATTTCTGTGATGCAAAGCTGATTTTCAGCTTTACTCCAGTCTTCAGTGTCACATGATCCTTCAGAATTTGGTGATTATTAATGTTGAAAACCCCTGTGCTGCTTAATATTTTTGTAGAAATGGCGAAATTTATTTTTGGGATTCTTTGTAAAATAAAATCTAATTCTCTTGCACTTAATACATTTATTTCTTTATGTCTGGCCTATGAATGAGCTGGGGAAAATAATGTTAATTTCTGTGAATATTTCAACTTTAAAATGCGGGACTATATTTGTTATCATATTGATATCATATACTTATGATTACACAATTAAAATGCTAAATGTGATTAATCATGAGTAATTACAGAAATATGTGCAATTAATTAGTTAATTTTTTAATGGATCACCAGCTCTACTTTATAGTAATTTATTTAAACGTCAAGTTTGAAATTTCACGACAACAAACAACAACAAACTCACTCACCCACTGCAGCCGATGACTTTGTTATAAAGATACGATGGAAGTCCCTTTAGATGAGCGTTGTTGTCCACAAAGACAAACTGCAGCTCCATGGAGCGCCCCAGATCTGACAGAAATATAAAACATCAGTATATCAGCAACAATGTCAAATAATTCACCTGGTTTTTGTGCAATTCCAAGATGTCTAAAGCGAGGAACAGAAAACCTCTCTCTCAAAGGTGTAGCTCTCAAATATGAATCCCTTTTGGTCTGTTCCTCACAAAAAGCCATCATATGGTTTCACAGAACTTGTATGGATCCCTTCAAAAAGTTTGGGATCAGTACTTCAGTAGCATTTTTTAAAAATGTTTTTAAAAGAAGTCTCCTATGCTCACTGAGGCTGCATTTATTTGATGAAAAATACAGTAAAGACAGAAATTTTGTGAAATATTATTATGATTTAAAATAACTTTTTTTATTTGAATATATTTTAAAACGTCATTTATTCCTGTGATCAGAGCTGAATTTTCAGCATCATTACTCCAGTCTTCAGTGTCACATGATCCTTCAGAAATCATTCTAATGTGCTGATTTGCTCCTCAAGAAACGTTTCATATTATTACCAATTTTGAATATTTTTTCAGAATTCTTTCATGAATAGAAAGCATTTATTTGAAATATTCTTTTTTGCTACATAATAAATGTCTTTACTTTCAACTTCATGAATTCTTGTTGAACAAAAGTATTCAATTCTTTAAAAACAATCATACAAATAAAAAAATCTTACTGACCCCCAAAACCTTGACCTATTGTATACATGTAAAGTTAACTTTCTTGATAGCACTGTCTTATCTTCTCACCCAGGGGCAGTGATGTCAGGCAGTTGGCAGCCATGGAGAGCTCATTGAGTTCGGGCAGCAGACAGAGCAGACGAGGAAGGCAGTGCAGCAGGTTGCGGTCTGCTGTCAGGCACTGCAGGGACAGACACTGGTGCAGACGCTCTGGAAGAGTCCTCAGGAGGTTCACGGACACATCGAGAGTCTCCAGCTCTCGGAGATCTCCCAGCTCTACCAATACAAGCACATATACAAGTTTCAATCAGGTAAAAGCAAGATATTATAACCCTAGGGAGTCACCCTATGCCCTCTGCTGGCAAAAACAGGAGTTGGTACTTTATGTGACATTGAAAAGGAACCAAAAAAAAAATTTAAATCACACCTTCCCACATGTGTGCAATGCATGTCACTAGTTAAATATGCTTGAAACTGGTGGAACAATTAACTGTAAAACACTTAGTTTGGAATAACTCACATATGATAAATTAAAGCCATGAACAGTCTCGGCTTCAGATGAAACACTGCCCAATTAAAATTGGAAAGAGCAATAAAAAGACTGATATAAAACAACAGCGTGTTTTGAAGCAAAGCATTTAAAGAGAGTGTCAAAGAGCTTAATGATTTCCCCACAGTCTCTTTATGAAGTTTTACTCCTCAGAAACATTTATGTGTCATGTTGAGCACAAAAATCAAAGTTTCCTCGCTGAATGAAGTTTAATAACTGCAGGTTTAAAAGCTTCTGCTCATGCAGTTTCCTCATACTCGGCTTTTGAGTGAGACATTATTTGATGCAGTTAAAGCTGCTTAATTACACAGGCAGAATTTTTTTTACAGATATTGTCTATGAATTAAATGGACTGTTTAACTAGAAACATTATTAATTACACTGTTGCAGGAAGGCAGCACTGCATTTATATTCCGCTCTCATTTTTCACAATCTTCTGCAAATAATTCAGTTCAAACCACACAGAGTTCCTTCAGCGACTGGAATATATCCGGTTTATAAAAGCATGTACAGATAAAGCAAAATTATTTTCTGTTTTAATTGCAGCATGTAGCACGTAATTATTTATATTCAATCCGAAATATTATTTTTAATGTTCTTAAGCATGGTAAAGCAGTAAAACCACATATTCAGCGATTCTTTTTTTGTTTTACTTTTTGTTTATTATTAGGCTTTTCTGTGCACATCAGAATTGATAATCACTATAATCAGTAGCAACAGCTCAAACATTCTCAGTTTTTTGGATTAATGCTGATAAATGTTTGCGACTCACCTTGCGGGAGGAATTTCAGTTGATTGTTGGCCAATCGCAGATGTCGTAATGAGCGCAGTTGACCGATCTCTGGACAGATGACCTGAAGAGCGTTGTCACTCAGGTCCAGTGACTGCAGCTTCGCTAGATTGCCAATTGCTAGAAAACAACATTATGTATCATGTAATGCATAAGGTGCCTGACATCGAAATATTGCTAAATACTGTATAATCACGAGATAACGTTACCTTGAGGAATTATCACAATATTGTTTGAGTGCAGGTACCTAAATCAAAACAAACAAAATAGATTGCAGGACTGTTTCATAATCTTGTTTTTCATCAGGTGTAGTACAAATAATGATATTTTAACAAACTCAGATTTGACCAATTTACATCATATACAGGTGCATCTCAATAAATTAGAATGTCGTGGAAAAGTTCATTTATTTCAGTAATTCAACTCAAATTGTGAAACTCGTGTATTAAATAAATTCAATGCACACAGACTGAAGTAGTTCAAGTCTTTGGTTCTTTTAATTGTAATGATTTTGTCTCACATTTAACAAAACCCACCAATTCACTATCTCAACAAATTAGAATATGGTGACATGCCAATCAGCTAATCAACTCAAAACACCTGCAAAGGTTTCCTGAGCCTTCAAAATGATCTCTCAGTTTGGTTCACTAGGCTACACAATCATGGGGAAGACTGCTCATCTGACAGTTGTCCAGAAGACAATCATTGACACCCTTCACAAGGAGGGTAAGCCACAAACATTCATTGCCAAAGAAGCTGGCTGTTCACAGAGTGCTGTATCCAAGCATGTTAACAGAAAGTTGAGTGGAAGGAAAAAGTGTGGAAGAAAAAGATGCACAACCAACCGAGAGAACCGCAGCCTTATGAGGATTGTCAAGCAAAATGATTGTGAAGTTTCCACAGTCTGTGATGATTTGGGGTGCAATGTCATCTGCTGGTGTTAGTCCAATGTGTTTTTTGAAAACCAACGTCACTGCACCCGTTTACCAAGAAATTTTGGAGCACTTCATGCTTCCTTCTGCTGACCAGCTTTTTGAAGATGCTGAAATAAATGAACTTTTTCACGACATTATAATTTATTTAGATGCACCTGTAGCTATTGTTTACGGGTGGGTAAGAAAACGTCCCAAAGTTTGAGGGACCTCTATTGGACAACAGTAATATTACAACACACTGACAACTAATATAACATTGTCATAACACCAAGAAGACTGAAGAGTATAACAAAGATTAATACTCACAATTCTATCAAGTTGGGAAGTTTCTGAGCCAGGTTCTCTGGCTGACAGGAGGAAAACAGTATTAGGATGCAAAATATATTTATAATATTTCAATACAGGACCTAAGCAAAAATGAAGACTAACAGCACAAGGACTGAGATCTTACAAGTGTTGTGAGGGAGTTTCTCTTCATGAAGAGACGCTCCAGGAACTGCATCCCTTCATCTCTGAGGAGCTCCACAGGGAAAATGTTGAGGTTTCTGTAGTTCAGGAAAAGATTCTTGTGTCGCTCTCGCTTGGCCATAAAAATCACTTCATGGAGTTCAGAAGCCATGGCTGCAAGAACCGTCTTTGGCTGAGAGAGTTTTTCCCTCTTTCAGCTTCTACTTTTCCAGTCTGAAAGAAACATTTTTAACATTTCTTAAAGATTCATAACGATTTCTTGATTTAAATTATAAATACATTTATTAAGAATTAAGACAAAATATACATTGTAATTAAAAATAAAAACAATATTACAACAATAATAGAATATAAACAATAAAAGAATGATAAAAAATAGCAGTAATAATACTTAACCCATTGTTCCTTATTGATTTGATCGAATCAAAAGTGAGATGTATTGTACAGAATGACAGTAACACGTTTACCAGCAACATTAAAGCATTATGTAATGTCAGATACTAAAAATAACGATACACTAACAACAGCATGTACCAAGATGAGCTCAGAAAATGATGCTGATACTGTACTGTCATTCAATCTCATACCACATGATGAGTGTAAACAAATTAAGTCTCTACAAAAAACTAATCATCGACTACTTGGCCATCTCAAATGGTTGCTTTTTGGAATTAACGAACCATAAAACTGACCTATGTAATACAAAACACGACAACGAAAATCAGTAATGAATCGCAACTTACATTGCATCCCTGTAGTGAATGAAATATGAATTATTCCCTCTTGAAAACCTCTGGAGTTGTTTGTGTACAGCACTAGCCTTCCGTCTGGGAGCAAAACGCGTCACTAGATACGAGCACAGAGCATCATGGGAAATGTAGTTTTTCCTGCATCAAAAATGTAGTTTTTCCTGCATTTTTCCTGCATGTAGTTTTTCCTGCATTCGCTTCGGTCGTGCCTAAAAACGCCCTTCAGCCGTGATTTATTCACGATGCAGCACGGCCTCGAGTACCTTATTGCTTTTATAAAACGGTTACCACACAATAAAAACATATTCAAACCAAAAATGTATGTATTGAAATGTTAAGTTCGTTAAATGCTGTCTATCCGCTAAAAATAGTTCCTGACAGCAACAGTAAATGGCAAGAGAATGTTCTGAACATGCCTCATCTAATGGAGCTTTATCATCCGCTGTGTCATTTATTTTTTAACACCATATATGATATCGGGGTCTCAAAATTAACGATGAAAGATGCAACATAACGCCAGCAGGGGTCACTCATACTTCATCAAATAAATAACAAACAGTTAATTCTGTCGAAATACATAATAAATGAAACAGTTTTGATGCTATATTATTATTATTATTATAACATACATAAATTATTATTTATTATTATTATTATTATTATATTATTGATTGCGTATGTTGCTAAGGGTGAAGCGGTCATAGCCGTGCTGCTGACCAATCAGAATCGAGGACTGGAACTACCGTTTTTATAATATAATTTAATATACATAACAGTTTTACGTTTTCTTAAGAGAATTGTTAAAGAATCCATTTAAATAGTTTGGCTTCATATTCAATAATAATTCATAATTCATCAAATTCATATAATAAGAAACAGCTAATTGTTTCAGCTAAAAAAAAACAGCTAATTGTTGTTATAATAATTTTTAGATTATATAAATTAAAAGCAATTTCAATGTACAATTTATGTCTTTAAGAAAAAAATGTTATGCTTTCAGGAGTCCATGACACAAAATGAAGTTGCTCATGAAGTCATTGTTTCAGTCCTGGGGTGCGTTCAGCCCCGACAAAAACGGTGCAAAACGTTTTTTAAACGGAAACGGTGGTGCGTTGAACGCCCTGTTCTGATGATGCAAGAGTTCCAGAATAAAAGAGAACATCCCAGTCGAGTGAAGGGATTTGTGGAGACTGTGGTTCCAACATTTGCCTGCATTTCAGCATGAAAAGACAAACATTTCAGGTGAAGGATAATCCACTTCTTACCTCCGAGATTGTGTTATGATCTATATGATCTTATTATTTTTATAGTGAGTATTAGGCTTATCATTATTGCTGATCACTGTTGTTGTGCTATGATATTGTAATATTTACCATTATATAATCAGAGGAATATAGAAAAGTTTATGAAAGTGTCACTCCATAATACAATAGCAAAATATATAAATATGTATAGTATTTTGATGTTACATTAATCAGTATTTAGCACACCTTCCTAAGGAAAGGATATGGACGAGAAGACATTGCAATTACTAAATGATATTTAGACAGACTTAAATGAGTCATATGATGCGATTTCAAGTTTTCCTTTCTCTTTGGAGTGTTACAAGCTGATTGTGCATAGATAAGATCCCTGAAGATGCAAAGACTAAAGTCTCAAAACCAAAGAGATATTCTTTATCAAAGTTAAGACTCTGCCACGCCCCCCTAAAACGGCTCGTTCTAACACACCCCCAACCTGGAAGTATTTATTCAGCGATCGGCACTAAAACGTCATCTGTACGGAACAACGTTGTGTACGGAACATGGTTAGTCTATGTTATGTGTTTGTTTGTGCGTATGTACGAGTATTGAGTATGTATGTTTACTGTAACAACGCGTGGTTGTTCTATAGAACGTGGGGCTAACCGGAGCTAAGCTAGGCTACTAAACTTTTTGCTAAGCTAATTGCTAGCAGGGTGCTAGCATCTACACATCGAAACTTTTAATTTGGTTAGTGGAAAGTGCAAGCACTCGCGTCCCATACACCGCACGACCATGAGTGTCTCTATGAGCAGAAGCACAGACAGAACAAATCAGCAGGAGGCAGTACCGTCTTCTTTCTCCTTTTATTCTGAACACAGAATAAGAACTTACACAGGCAAGGCCATATCGCCAAGTCCCTCCCCTACACATCTCTCTCCATGACGGTGACAGCCACACTTTTTCATAACAGGGCAGTAAATGAACCAAACCCACCCGAACTAACTTGAACATAAACAGTAACCCAACCATCTTGCTTAATTAACACATAAAGCAACTCTAAACAAATACCCATAATGCACCTGGCTGCTAACGCTCACTGCCGGGTCATTACATAACCCCCCACCAAGAGGGTTAGTGTCTCCACAACCCTATTCTCCCATAACAAAATCCAGCAAATGGCCTGGCCATCGTCGAACAGGACGTTCTACCCCCAGCGCCAGGCTCAGCCCTGAGTCCGTCATTGTTGGTCTCGGCGCTGGGAGTGGATGGCGGGGAGCCGCCCTGGCTTCCACCAGTCTTTTGTTCTGGGGCCAGTGAGTGGTACGGTGCCAACCGATCCTTATGAAGCACCACCCGTCTACACCGTCCAGGCATTCGGACCCGGAAGACCACCTCCGAAATTTGGTCCAGAATCTCCCCGGGTCCCTGCCAATGATGAGTCAGTTTGGGTGACAACCCCCCACTTCCTCTGGGGGCAGAACACCCACACTCTGTCCCCTGACCCAAGGGTAGGCCCGTGGGCCCAGGCATCGTACGCCGCTTCTGGTGGGCTCCAGCATCCTCTAGAGCCTCCCTGGCCAGTTGATGGACTATGCTCAGAAGCTACTTCAATCGCCGGAAGTAGTCCAGTTCTGGGCCACCAGCAATCTCTGGCTCGGGGGGCGACCCGAACACCAAATCCACCGGTGTGCGGAGCTCCCTCCCAAACATCAGCGCCGCCGGTGTGCACTGGCTCGACTCTTGCACTGCTGTCCTATACGCCCACAGGGCAAGGGGCAGATGCTGGTCCCAGTCTCTCTGGTGCTGACTGGTCAAGATGGCAAGTTGGGTGGCCAGGGTGCGGTTGAACCGCTCAACCAGTCCATCGCTTTGAGGGTGGAGGGGAGTGGTTCTTGTTTTCTTCACCCCCAGCCGCTGGCACACCTCACTGAACAACCGGCTTCTGCCCCTGGTCACTATGAAGCTCGTCCGGCACCCCGAACCAGGCGAACATCTCGTCCACTAGTCGCTGCGCCGACATGGAAGCACCCTGATCCGGCACCGCATACGCCTCTGGCCACTTCACTTCGTAAAATAGTCCATAGCGACCAGGACAAAACGGTTGCCGGCCTCTGTGACGGGGAACGGACCCAGGATGTCAACCCCGATCCTCTCCATGGGCGCCCCGACTAGATACTGCTGCAACGGCGCGTGAGAGTGTCGGCTGGGTCCCTTCTGTGCCGTGCAGACATCACAGCAGTGAACGTGCAGCTCTGCATCCTGCCGACACCCTGTCCAGTAGAACCGCTGACGCAGCCGTCTCCGTCTTGGAGTTCCCGAAATGGCTGGCTCCAGCTGCCCTATGAACCCAATGGAAGACCTCCGGCCGCAGAGCATGGGGAACCAGGAGTTGCAGACAGTCGATCCCCCCGGTGCCTGCCACCTCCTGTAGATCACGTCATTGTGGAGCTCCAGATTGCCCCACTGAGAATGAAGCGACTTGATCTTGGGCCCCTGGGAGGACACGGCTGGCCAGTCCGGATGTGTTCGGGCCTCCAGCCAGCCCCTCACCTTCACCAACACTCGATCATTCACCTGCTGTTGCCTCAGCTGCTCGGTGGTGGTTCAACCGCAACCCGGTGCTATGGATGACTGTCAGGACCTCCCGTAAGTTGTGGACAGCCTGGTCAAAGTCTCTGGCATGGACCAACAGATCGTCCAAGTAGACCACACAGCGGGTGCGGGGAATGTCTTTAAGGACCCGCTCCATCAGCCTCTCAAAGGTGTCCGGGGCATTACACAGTCCAAAGGGCATCACCTTAAACTGCCACAGTCCTTGCCCTATGGTAAACGCAGTTTTTGGGGCGGGCCTCTGATGCCAGCTCCACTTGCCAATACCCGCTGCGCAAGTCCAAAGAGCTGAACCAACAGGATCCAGCAACATAATCCAACGCATCATCAATGCGCGGCAGCGGGTATGAGTCCTTGCGGGTGACCGTATTTAGCCGCCGAAAGTCCACGCAGGGGCACCACCCCCCGTTTTCTTCCACACCATGACCATGGGTGCGGCCCAGGGACTGTACGAGGGCTCAATAATGCCGTTAGCTGCCATATCTCGGATCATTTCTTCGGCAGCTTGGCGAGAGGCAGTCTGTGGGGGCGCAAGCGAATGGGGGCAGCGGGGCCAGTGTCAATGTGATGCTGCACCAAAGCTGTCCTGGTACAGTCCTTCTCTCGGGCTGCAAAAATGTCTACAAAGTCTCTCAATAGGCGTTGTAACTGCTCCTGTTGCAGAACGCTCAAATGCTCACCGCTTCGCCGCCCCAACTCCTCAGTCCTTGCCCTATGGTAAACGCAGTTTTTGGGGCGGGCCTCTGATGCCAGCTCCACTTGCCAATACCCGCTGCGCAAGTCCAAAGAGCTGAACCAACAGGATCCAGCAACATAATCCAACGCATCATCAATGAGTCCTTGCGGGTGACCGTATTTAGCCGCCGAAAGTCCACGCAGGGGCACCACCCCCCGTTTTCTTCCACACCATGACCATGGGTGCGGCCCAGGGACTGTACGAGGGCTCAATAATGCCGTTAGCTGCCATATCTCGGATCATTTCTTCGGCAGCTTGGCGAGAGGCAGTCTGTGGGGGCGCAAGCGAATGGGGGCAGCGGGGCCAGTGTCAATGTGATGCTGCACCAAAGCTGTCCTGGTACAGTCCTCCTCTCGGGCTGCAAAAATGAATGTGATGCTGCACCAAAGCTGTCCTGGTACAGTCCTTCTCTCGGGCTGCAAAAATGTCTACAAAGTCTCTCAATAGGCGTTGTAACTGCTCCTGTTGCAGAACGCTCAAATGCTCACCGCTTCGCC